TAGCGTCTGGAGAATGCGTACAAGTAATCATATCAAGCACATGCCCGTTTGATGAATGGTAATGATGGGACTGCAATAATGTGGGTTTTTCTTAGCACTTTACATGCCACTATTATGATCTTCTGCTTAACGCTTTAGTGATGATTAGAATCCTTGAATACAGCTGATAAGGTACAAGTAAATACAATTTGTAGTTTATTTCGGTCTCACATTCATTATTGTTCAAATGTTCACAAATAATGAAGCTTGATTTAAGATTGCTTTGGGAAACAACATTGTGATTTGTGATTCGAGCTAGACAGCCCACTTAGTAACTATAGTAGCATAGTCAGTCAAATGAACCAGTCATGCTATGTTTTCCATTAGTAAATACTTTTCGCAAAGAGTCAGTCATACAATCACAGCTTCAAAACATTCCATTTCCCTCAAAAAGGTCGTTAGAAAAAAACATGTTTTTGTAATTAAATGAAAACAACATTTATCATGTTCGCGTGTTTCGGCGCGTCATTTAGGTGGAGCCCTATTAGTAGCCCGGCGCATAAAAGCCGCCAGTCATGTCCGCTAAGCGTTAACCTGGACTCCGAGAATTGATACCATCCAATTTGACTAATTGTCTACTAATTGTTGGTGGTAAATTGGAGGGTAAAACAAAACCATTGTCATTAACAGTGGTAAATACGGTGGCAAAACACACGTTATAACGTTACGAAGATTAGTTATTAGAAGTGCTAGCAAAATAATGATTTTAATTACTTCTGATTGCGACTCGTAACTTTATGTCTATAAGTCACAAAATCCGTTTAGCAAAATAATGATTTTAATTACTTCTGATTGCGTCTCGTAACTTTGTGTCTATAAGTCACAAAATCCGTTTAGTACTTTAGATCTAGGTAGATTATTTTTTTACATAGAACATCAGTATACGTGGAATCTCTGATTAAATGCCCTTACTTTGAAAATATAAAAGAATAGGACTCAAATTGAAGGACATCAGGTTTCTCTGTGATATTGATTATGGAAAATTATGCAGATATTCAGTAATGAAGCGATAAACCAGGACATGAGTAATTCTGATGCGTCCGTTAATTCATTTGGCATTGATGAAGTTTTGTGAAGTTGTTTACGCAAAGTTAACATCTCCATTTGCAGTCATCATCATTATTAGCTTAGCGCATCGTTATATCAAACTACTTATTGCGTTGGATGAATTGACTGATGAACTGTCTAAATACATGATTGTATAATATGTATTTGAAAATGAGCAAAACAAACTTGCATTAAAGTTATGCTTCAGTTTGTTTCAGTAAATAGTAACGTCTGAAGCTAGATTATAATTCGTAGAGTGACCAATAATGTCACGCAATTAATTTACAGTCCCACAACTGAATACTCGTGTTTTATCGACCATAGAGCCATTTGCACTACAAATAAACGGATGACAAGCAAACATACAGGGTGACTGGAACTGAACCCGCCATAGCTAATACGCGTTTAGAGGAGGTCATTTGCTAATTATTGAACCTTACTTTCTATGACTAAAGTTTTATAGTTTAGGAGATATGTCAAAGGATAATTTTCGTATTATTACTCCATTTTCTTCCATAAACTTTGAATTTTTAATCAATTTCAATATCTAATTACTACGTGTGATATATCATTGGAAAGAAGAGAAGGTAGATATATTTTTAAGATCATTGGCAATCCATTAGCACCATTAGTTTTTTTTTAATCGAATTTGAACTTGATTTTTTTATCGTGGTTTGTACTTTTGTTGAACTTTGACGGCTCGTAACTAGTTATTGAATCATTATCTAGATCTGAAATTTATTTTATTTGACTAAAGGTTTATTCGATATTAGTATCAAATAAAAAAATCGGTTAAAATCATACGAGAAAAAAAATTTAAGCAGGTTTTAGGTCAAATTTCGGAAAAATCTGAAAAAAGTATAAAAATTGACATATCTCCTAAACTATAAAACTTTAGTCATAGAAAGTAGGGTTCAATAATTAGCAAATGACCTCCTCTATATGCGTATTACTATGGCGGGTTCAGTTCCAGTCACCCTGTATAACAAAGTTATTCGACTTCGTACATTTGATTGATAGGTTGGTACTTATAGAGCATCATCGCGAAGAATAGAACGTCCTACTGCTGCCAAATATCAAAGGCGGTGAGTAAGTGCAGCGGGCTGTCCCGTTTGTGACTCACGGGAGCTCGCTCATTGTGCATCTGGAGTAATTAGGCAAAATGGGCGTGGGTGCACCGTCAAACAGTGCCACTGGCAACTCATAATTTTCCCACAGTCGATTTACTGATCAAACAAATGATACATTGTGAATAAAGCAACTTGGCAAAGCACGCCAAGATAAGCTCGGTTTGTGACGGAACAAACTAACAAATGCAATAAATTCAACGCTTGAATAACGTTAGCAATTTAGTGCTAGGACTGCTACTACGTGAGGTCTCTTTATCTCACCAGGAACACTAATGAGGTGTACAATAGTAGCAATATGCGAGTACAAACTCATTGTCTCTGGTATTAAGACCGAAACATCTTAAACGTAATCAAAATGAAAGCAGCAACACAGCAGCAACGTAAACAATATTAAATTCCTGACAATCTACGGGACTGCATAATCATGAATAATGCATGCATATCCCAAGTCCCAACTAGGTACCCAAGTAGCGACAATAGCGATGAACCGAAGGACCGAACCCTGGATGAGTCAGACGAAGTCGATTGTGCAACAGGAATAATAATAATCGCTTCCAGTGGGCGTGAATGGGAGTGTCACCTTTGGATTACAGCGGGCGAAGGCTGCTGAATGGTGATCTAACTGCACGTTATGTCATCTACATATTGTAGTGAACTTTTATAGTTTACTACGGGAAACAATAAAATAAACATGCTCGCTGGGGCCGAGCTAAGGCATGTGGGTTTTAATAATATTTGTAAAATTATAGCGTACTGCGTGATTAAAGATAGCGGGTAATGATACTCGGTTAAGAAGACGGACCTTAAAAAAGAAATCAGAAAGTGTAACAAATGACTAGGACATTTTTTGTACATTAAAAGTGAAATTAAGGCTTAATTATAATTTCAACATAAGATATTAAGATTCTGTCGAGCACTAGACCGTCAAATAGGTATCGCTGATGTCATTAGCGTAGCCGAATCGAGGTCCCAATTAAAATTTCATCTTCGTAATCTCATCTTAATTAATTAGATAATTAGCCTATTGTTAGCTTAATTTGCTGCAAAAAGCGCGATGCTTCCGTATTGTGGAGATGTTCTTGTCACCTAGCGGCCTAGTTAGATAGCAATGAATATTCATATTGTACAAAATCCACAGACACAGTAGGTCGTGCGGAATCAAAACATCGCGAGCGAGTGTAACGACCCCGCCCGTCCGCTGATTAGTATACAACTGCGACTTTTATTAGCCACGGGAGCGACGTCGCTTCGGGTACCCAATAGCTGAGATAATGTGGGGTTCTTTATTGCCATTTAACTCTTTAAGGGTTAACGTTTTCGTCGTTATCACCATTTTCCTCTTATTAGCGTGACTTGCTTTCAACCTACATTCTAAGTGCTACTTGTCGGTGCCTATCTACAAGTACTGTCTACATTCTATTGTTAAAAATAATTCGCTGCCGAAGCCGATGTGGGATAAATTTTAGTCTCTAACGATGTGTATACTTATAGTACGATACTAGAATCTATTTGCTGGGACAACTATACTATACAACTATGCTAGATTATCTGGGTAACAAAGGCACGCGCGCTAGGCCCAGTATTTTGACCTCACATGCTCAAAGATAATAATTTAGGGTAAAGTTTACTGCATTGCAACTACATAAGATTGCAAGAACATTTTATTGGGAATTTGAATATCAAAGCAACAGTTTTGTTATTAAAATCGAATGTTGATCCATAACATTAATTCAAACTAAAATGTCAGTGTCACTGATTTTAATTTACATGAGATTGTTTGTTTATTGAATATTTAGCCAGCCCGAACCAGTTCAGATAGAATTGCATGCATATTTCGACCAGCTTCATAACCTGTACGTATTTCAAGTCGTGACCTTGTTTGTCGCTAATCTTTAGATACATGAAGCCGTTGGCCTGTTCTCTCTCACCTTGACTTGCAATAAAAATGATAACTTTACAACTAAGTATGCTGCTTACTCACCTAGTTTAATAGCTTTTTATTGTACACACAAACAATGCTTTCCAATTTTGTAAATAAGACACAAATCCTTGGCAGTAATTGAGTATACATTCTACATTTTGTAGTTAGATTATGATTTCACATTTTGGATAGTGAACATCATTAAATCATTTCCCCTTGCCAGAATGGTAATGTATTTTATTATTTTGCATATAACATGACAAGTGAAAGCTATGTTATTTAGGAATATGTTAAAAATAATGAGAGTGAGACCATCTACTCGAATTCGAAATGAGTTAGTTAACAGTGTTATTTAATAGTATGTATGTATGTATTTAGTGAGAGGTATAATTATTGTAAATATGTAATTGCTCAATAATTAATAATAAATAAATAAATAAATTGTATTGCATGTGTGTAACTGCTAAAATTGTCTGTATCCAGTTTCTTTAACCATTATGAAATTATTACATTTGCAGTGGATGCTACTGATGATGAGAGTATTTTTGTATGATTAATGGGTGTTATTGCCTTCATAAATCAATATTTCATACAGATAATTAATTACTTATCAATCACTTAATATTTCAATGGCATTCCCGCTTCTAATTTCCACATATTTATTTTTTTACCGACGCATTTTCGTATGCGTATGCGCAGATGTATTTGTAATGTCAAGTAGATGACTAGATGTGTGGTTACAAAATGTAATAATAAGTCACAGAAACATACAACAGTTTACATTTCTGAATCATTCAAAAAGGGATATAATTCCATTAGAAAAAGGGTTCAAAATCCAATAAGTCCTGGATAGACTAACATACCTTGCAGTCCTTATGCCTGTAGCACCACGTGCAGCCGAGCAGCAGGCCGACCGCGGCGATCAGCAGCGCCAGCGCCGGCACCGCCGCGTATGCGCCGCCCGGCCCGCCCCAGCCCAAGGGCGCTGACGCTTCGCTTCCATCTGGAGGAGAAACATTTGACGCTTTACAAATGAAGCAGCAAAGCCGTGTGGTGACGGCAGAGTAGAATACATTTGTCACCAACCCCTACTCTTCCCACGGGTGTCGTAAGAGGCGACTTAGGGACTACACATCAAACAGAGAACAGGCAGCAGCGCTCTCTGAAAAACATCAATCTTTTAAACTGCGATCTCCAACCCGCCTGCCAAGCGTGGAAATTAAGGCAAAACCCTCCACTATAGTGGAAGAGGCTCATAGTCATAGTCCAGCAGTGGATTGTAAAGGGCTGTTGATGATGATGATAAAAGCAACCACAGTGCAGTGGAAGGCACAAAATCGTGCGGCAGGTCGCCCATGCTTTGGACCGACTAGTGGGTCTAGGATAAAGTGCACTTCAAACGTCCAATATTACAATAACTCGAGGCTTCGTATCAATGGCCCCGGAGGACACCGTCGGGTTTTAGGCGATTGTCTTTCGATCTTCGAATCGGTAGGTAACTCCAAAATCCTGGGGGGTACCAGGGGGTGCCTTAGGACTTATCACGGGGGGGTGATCGCCCCGGGTGCCAACCCATGCTACGCCTCCACTGATTGTGAAGCTTACCAACAAACCAGGTAAGGTAAACTAACCAGTCAAAGGACCATCACTGTACGTGACGTGCATTACGTGCGTGTCCGTGGTTACCACCCATCGAGTTTAGGCCATTCTAATCAGGGAAGATGCGAATGCCCTCGATTTTTCTGACTAAACGGTTTTTTTTTTGCTGAGATGGAAAACGAGATCAGAATATCAAATAAACATTTCCATCATAAATTAGGGGTGAGGACGTGCGCAATATTTGTATTCAGTGATTACTGATTACCTACTTTTATCGCAGTGTTCGAAAGCCTCTAGGACTAGGTGAACGGCCGTGAAAAGTATGACGAGAGTGCAGGGCTTCATATTGCGATTATGCCCATTGACTTCAGTTCTTCTATCGCACGCATAAGGAGAGTGGTGACGTATTGGATGGTTGCTTGTAAAAGTTATAATGCAGATATGCTCCTTAATATAAAGCCCATGTTCCACTTCTTTGATACTGTGGAGCGGCAGGTTAAGCCTTGGATGGCGCCGCAGAATATCGTCAGTTTGACAGAGGCTATTGACGATACCTATATCCCAGATTCGGTGGGTCGATCGATTCTCATTCAAGTCGATTGTTGTTTTTATGCCTAGTAAGTATTCTTAATAACAATCGTATTGCTGTCTGATAAGACTAAGCGGAGTCGATTGTCTAAATGGGGTTTGTCAGCCGCCAGGGTTGTCATCATATAACATGATGCAAATTGGTAAATGTGTAATGTAGTTGTAAGTATTATAGTAATAATTGAAAGGTCCTTCACGAAACCTCTCCGCGCCCACCTGTTTTGGGCTAGCACGACTTAACTACCTAGCCATAGCATTCGCCCGGGACCTTGTTGCTTATAACTGCTGATGATATTGAATTGAGCAAACAGTAAGAACCTAGGTCAGGGTTGAAATTTTGCCTATGGAAAACAATTTCGTCCAAAAATTCAATGAATATTGCTCCTAGATTTTACCACCATTGAATATAGTATTTTCTGCTGTGGTGTTTCTAGGAAAACTAGTCAATTACTTTTAAAAAGTCATTGACATTATTGATTGCAATGCTTAGCATTCAAAAGATTTAAATTACTTTATAATTTTTTGATGATCCAATTTATATTTGGCACAGCTGAATGTCAAATGCTAGTGTATTACTAATTTATCACATAACTAGCTTTTGCCCGTGGCTTCACCCGCGTGAAATTTAGTGCCACAGATTCGCATAAATTATAGCCTATATGTTAATCTGGGTTACAAATAATAATACTGTAAAGTTTCAACCAAATCCGTTCAGTAGTTTTTGTGTGAAAGAGTAACAAACATCCACACAAACTTTCACCTTTATTATTAGTAGGATAGGATTATCACATAAAAATCCTCAAAGTAGTCACTTACAGATTTTCTTGGTTTGATAATGAATTCATTAAAATTAAAATTAAATGATACAAGTTCACCTAACATGAGGACATTTGTGTTAGTGCTATACACAATAAAATTAGGTAGATTGTAAACTAATCTGGCATCTATAAAGTTGGTTCCCATGATTGTAATGTCCGGTAATTGGTTTTGAATTCTATGACTAAATTAATCATTGTAACTTCCATGAAACCACTTGCTCCTAAATCCATAGGTATTTTTACATTAAGATAATAAATCAAATTGGTAATTTGGTAATTAATCCATTGGCAAAAAGAAAAGAAAAACACTTTTGTCATAAAATTAATGATGTTCAATCTGAACTTTAATTAAATTATGTAGAAGGTTTAGTACGGGCCCTATTATTATTCTGTCTAATGGCTTCAATGGTGTGAATTTGAAGCACACTGATTTTGCAAATGTCGATAGTTTAGAGAGACACAGGTTGATTCTTTTTAACTGTTGTCACAGTAAACTTCTTTTGAATTTAAAGAAGAAGAACATGATCTGTCTTAAAAGTTATATTTACTACAAATGCCAAAAAAAAAATAGATCTTCAAAAATTGGCATTATCTAAAAATCTAGTTTTTCTTACTATTTAGCCCAGGAATATTTACTTTATCACTATCCAGTTGGTAAGCCATAGAAAGGGAAACCTTATTGGAAAAACTAGTCATATTTTATGTTGTCATCCCATTCAACTACATGCTTTTAGCAATGAAGAATAACCAAGTGTTGTGATAGCTAGTAATAGCACTACATCACGACAGTCATCGTAAGGGCCTTAGAAATAATCTAAATGTAGGAAATGTATTGGAAAGTTACAAAAATCTTAGTGGTTTCAAATAAGAATTATTTTAATATAAACCACAATAGTTAGATAGTAAAGTTGTTGATTTAAAATGAAATACTCTAAGATTTTCGCAATTGAAACTATGTTACATTAAAACAGCTAAAACCAGTCTACCCTCAACAATTTATTAACTGATACAAGGCCCAAGACATTGTTTTCAGAGATTCTACAAATGTAATGTTCATTAATGCTACTCAATCTCTTTGCCAAGTTTGTATAGAGTTTACTACGCATAGTAGCAGTGTTTATTTACAGAAAAACATGATATTTTTGTTGTTGAAATGACTCACCGTAAGGGTAGGTTTGCGGCGTTGGTCCAATTGGTAATCCATATCCAAAATGTGAGCCAGTCAAGGCCACGAAAAACACTACCCATAACAAGCCCATTATAGATACATTATTTACACAGCCGTGTTATTTTCCGTTTCATTATTTATCATTTTCATACATCACCACAACACAAAAAATACACGGTCCACGACAGATTCGCACTATGTTAAATATAACAATACACTACGGGAAATTTAAACTATAAACTGAGTAAAAATAACATGTCCACTATCTAGAATATTTTTTGCACTTAAAACTTAGTATTCCGTGTAAATTTCATGCACATTTTACAATAAAATTGCGCAACCCACAGCTGTACAGAACGCCATTTTTGATTTTTCTAAACCGGTGTTCTACTCACAGATAAAATTTTCTACCATTAACCGTAATTATTTTAATATAGCAACACTGTGGATTGATATTCTTGGTTCCAAAACACTTTAGTGTTGGACTGAACACTAAAAATATTTTTTTATTTTCCTCTGCTCTGTTTCTTATAATTTTCTTGATTTTAGGACAAAAAAACAAATCATCACCGAAATTATGGTGTCCGGAAACCGGACATGCATGTTGAGAATGCACATTTGCACCAGCGTGCGCTTCATTCATTGGAATCTGTCAATCAGTCAGCTGTCATAATACTACGGAAAGAAATGTCGGAAGAAAACTCAAAATTGTTCTAAATCTGAAAATGTGTCAGACTAACCAATAAGTAAATAATTATGTATTATGCCAAAAATATTAATTCTCCATAAAAATTCCTGATGAATGCTCGTAAACTTTGATTCAAAATAAAATAACCTCAAAACACATGTACGGTAAAAGTGTATTGTTTAGTTACCGAGTAGTTAGCAAATGTAGTGTTCGCAGTTACAAGAGCAACAACACTAAAAAGCTGTTGGAATTTCTAGCCGAAATGCCGAAAGTAAATTCTGCAAGAATAGCTGAGGCACAGCGTCAAAGGCAGCAAATATCCAAAAGAAGTGAAAAGTATGCACCAAGTACTGTTTACCTTCAGGTTCTTGGTTCAGGAGCTCGTGGAGCGCCTAACACCTTGTATTTGTTCACGGATCAGAAGCGGTAAGTTAATAAGCTGTACTCTAAACATCTATACATTTGTTACACAACAAAAACAGTAAAAAAATTGCTAACATATTTCATCATCATTATTCAGTTTCGTATTTGTTTTTTCTAGTGGATTAATAGTATAATTTTTTTCTCTTCACTTTGTTTATAATTATATCACTAATATTCTAGGTACCTGTTCAACTGTGGAGAATGCACACAGCGCCTAGCTCACGAGCACAAGGTGAAGCTATCCCGCCTGGAACACATATTCATCACAAGCAAGACTTGGAAGAACATCGGAGGTCTGCCCGGCTTGTCTCTGACGCTTCAGGATGTTGGTGTGCCGAATATCACTCTACACGGGCCAGAGGGATTGGTACTATTTATTTTATTTTTATATTATTTTAAGGTTTTTTTTACTTACCTTTTTATATCTTATTAGCAGCCCAGCTCAGGCTTCACACAGGTAGATATAGGTACCTAATTAACATAAATTTAAAAAATATGCATCAATGATGAAAATCATATAATGTTTTTCTTTCTTTCTTTCAAAAAATTAGGATTCTGGTGGAATTGTGAAAGGATTTTTCAAATCCTTCCAGTAGTTTCAGAGCCCATTCTGTACCAAATTATAAAAATAAAAATATTTTTTCTTATTTTTTTTAACTTTCTTAACACTTTTTTACAGGATGAATTATATCCTGCAACAAAGAGGTTTGTGATTATGAAAGACATGAATGTGAACATGGCCAAATGCAGTCCAAGTGAAGATTTTGAAGACAGTGTTATGAGTGTGAAATATGTTTTACTGTAAGTTACTTCATATTGTTTTTTTTTATAATCAAAGAAGTCTTTCTTCATCATCAGTCTTGGAAGTTGTGTATAAAAAATATTTTTTCTTAAATTTCAGAGGCCCTCATGATAACTTATTAGTAGGCAAAGAATTGAAACCTGCAGCCAAACGGCCCAAATTGGAATCAAACCAGGACAAAGAGTTTGAGGAATTCATTCACGATGATACTGACTACTACAAGCCAGAAGCAAAGATTCCAGACAACAACAAAACCAATAGATATGCAAGAGATAATAGAGCTAAGCCAAAAAGTAGTTTTGAGAAAGGTACCTAATGTATTTATAAAAAGTAAATATAATTTTACTTTATTGGAGTAGGCATACCTAATTTACTAATATAACAATTTCTTTCAGATCCAATGAAGAAAAAGACTGAAAAGGTATTACATGATCTGCAAAAAAAAACAAACTGTTCAGTTGCTTACATTTGCACCCTGAAGGTGAGTTCCTGAATTACAATTATATGAATAGTAATCTATACTAATATTATAAATGCGAAAGTAACTCTGTCTGTCTGTCTCTCTTTCACGCCTAAACCACTGAACCGATTTTGATGAAATTTGGCATAGAGATAGTTTGAGTCCCGGGAAAGGACATAGGATAGTTTTTATCCCGGTTTTTGAAACAGGGACGCGCGCGATAAAGTTTTTCTGTGACAGACAAAATTACACGCGGGCGAAGCCGCGGGCGGAAAGCTAGTATTATAAATAGCAAAGCATGTTGTTTGTCTGTTCAAAAATGGAAACTGGTACAGATTTAAAGAAGCTAAAGTCTACCTTCTTGTCATTAAGCACCTAAATAAGGTAGTAAAAAAAGTATGTTTGAAAATTTTTATTAATTTTCTCTTCACAGAAACGCCTTGGCACCCTGGATTTGGCCAAATGCGTGGAGATGGGGGTGAAACCCGGCCCTATGCTGGGCCAGCTCAAGAGTGGCCACGACGTAGTGTTGCCTGATGGCACACTCGTCTTGTCTAAGGACGTAAAGACGCCTGACGACCCTGGACCAGTTTTCATTGGTAAGTGTGACAATTAATAGCTTCATAGTCAGGTGGCTGAATTTTCACTTGGTTGTATGGAAAGAGTCAAGCCACCTTAGAGTCTATGGCACGTAGTACAAAACTACACTCAATAATAGATTCAAAACTAGCATATATTCAAGACTCAATCACACAGGATTCAATCTATTAATTAGTTATATGTTTGTATTCAGGGCGTAAGTTTGGAAAAGAGTATCTAGTAAAGGCTGACTGAGAGAAAATGAGTCTCTTTCAGTAAACCTTGCATGAACATATTATTAGTTTGTATTGGACTGGGTGTTTTCTATTTACAAAAAAAAGTATTTAAGTATGTTTATATCCGTTGTCTAGTACCCATAGTACAAGCTTTGCTTAGTAAAATGTCCAAGGATATTTATTTATTTATTATTGTTTTACAGTACTTGACGTCCCCGATCTCTCATACCTGAAGGAGGCGGAGTTCTCCGCCCACTTCGATAATGGGACGAACCCGCCAGAAAACATCCCCACCCTCATCGTGCATTACACGCCACCAGAAGTTTTCCATCATCCCACGTGAGTGTATAGAATATTAAATTTATCTTTTGACCATCCATTGGAGTGGAGGGGAGGCCACGTACCGGAAAGCGCAACGTAGGACGTCACCCACAAGGTGGACCGACGACCTCATAAAGGTAGCGGGAAGGCGCTGGATGCAGGCCGCTGCCAACCGGCCATTATGGAACTCATTGGGGGAGGCCTATGTTCAGCAGTGGACGTCCATTAGGTAACATCTTGAACCCAGAAAAGGGCCTGCAAATAGAACTTCTTTGAGTATAACAATAGCTTAAGGTTAAGGATAGGACAATTTTAAATGAGACATTACTAGGATGCTTTATTATGTACAATCAAGCAGTACACCAGATCAGACTATATTTGTTGCAAAATAGCATTTATTACAACTGTCCAAGATACTACAGAGTTTAGCTTGATGTCGTCGTCTGTACACAAGTATTTTTCAACCCTAGGTACCGTGCGTTCATGTCTCTCTTCGGGCCTACCACTAGGCACCTGGTTCTGAATTCCCAAAACGCGTGTCTCGGCTCCGAGGCCGTGCACCGGACCCAACACAAACTCCACCTCCTCGATCCGGATATATTTCCTCTCCTGAGGGACGCTAGTTTACCTGCAGTGTGGAATTCTCATCCTCCGCTGCCTAAAACCAACAGTCCGGTGAGGCTGAAAGGGTTAGAAGAACTTAAGAATAAGGTAAGGGTTTTTTCGATTGATATTTTCAATGTGGCTTTCGATGTTTTGTCCTAGTTCAGTTGGGACGTGTGTGTACCTTAGGCTGGTTTTAGTGTCACGCGGACCGTCCAGTGCGGACCCGCTCCGCACGGCCAATCTGTATGAACTTCTAGGGAGCGTTTTAGAGTAATGCAGTCCGGAGGAACCGCTCCGCTCCCTAGCAGTTCATACAGATCGGCTGTGCGGAGCGATCCGCACTGACAGTCCGCGTAACACTAAAACCAGCCTTATGGGCCACAGCAATTTGGTGGCTGACGGCTGTCATTAAAGTTATGCAATCACAATCATCTCAGTGCACGGTAAAAGTTGGTCTCGGTCACTAATGCCTAGGGTGGTTTAAGAACAACTGACAGTAAGGTTCACTTACTACACTCACCTCTCCACGAATCCACACAGATCCACATGGTGATATGGCCTGAGATACTGATACGTTAAGGTGGGGCCTTTGCCTTTCAATGGGTCATATAAATGCTTTTAAATCCACCTGTTTCATTCATTTCACTGTCTGTCATAATAAAATTCTATGTAAGCTTTCCATATACGGTGGTGGTAAAAAACTAACTGGTTTGTAGATTGCGCTCGCGCAGTTCCAGAACATAATAAATATGGAAGGCTCGTGCAAGGGCGACGGCGGCCAGACGCACGCGACCATAGACGAGGAGCAGAACAAACTCGAGGTGATCGCTGGACGCACGCTCACGATGTTCCATTTGAGGCCAAAGAGACAGCTGGATAGGTATGCGATATTATAACACGTCATGCTCGTCTAGAAACAGGTTACTTTCAGCATCTGCCAAATGTTAACTAGTAAGGCGAAAATATTATAAAGAATTAACAATTTTTTAATTTATATTTTTTTTATGAAGTTCGCATTGAGGTGAGGGCTCAGGCGACCTATTCGTCTGAAAATTCTTCATTGCCCCTTTCATTGTATCTGAAAAAGTCCAATGAATGCTCATGAAATCCAGTTTCTTCATGATTTGGATTGGATTGTCTGTTAAGAATATTGTTCTGTTCTTCTATGACCAATGCATCCCCAAGTCTCCATGATCTGACTCTAATAAACTTAGTTGTTACACAAAATGGCAAAAGAAGAAATGCACACTGCTTGCTTCATGAAATATCAATGCCGACACTCGCGTTTCTTCTAATTTTCACTTCTCAAATCTTCTATTCTGCAATTCTTTAGATCTGCAGAACCCAAACTCCACGTGCAAGAGTACATACAAGAGACAATGGACGTGGACGGCTTTGTCGGCAGTTTAGAACACTTCAGGCGACAGGTGGACAGCATGAGATACGCTAAAGCCAATTCCCAGGAGTTCCCCAAGGTGGTATTCTTGGGCACCGGGTCTTGCATCCCCAGCAAGACTAGGAACACTAGCGCCGTGGTGTTGCAAGTCGAGTGAGTTTTGTAACAGATAATAATTAAATACTTAATTGCTAATAATTGTATTGATTGAACGAGTGACTATGTTGACGAACGCCATCAATATCATTTTGAAATCAATAAGTAATTTGTTCATTTGAGTTGCCGAATAAATGACGTCATAGGGCCCTATAATATCGTTTCATCCACGAAGACGCGCCCGACCAATTTTTGAAGCGCGGGGTGCGGGGAGTTTGATCCGAGCAATCCGAGCGTCATTGTTGTAGTGTGCGTGTGCACTCATGGACAATTTAGCGTGTACCGATAACACTCAAACATTAGCGGAAGAATGGTGGGACGCGTCTTCGTGGATAAAACGATCTATACTGTAAAATAAAATATGACAAATTAATTGTGGTATCAATGTTGACTACCATATTAGTTTCGTTTTATAAGTAGATGTATGTATTTCAACAATATTTTTTGTTAGTTTCTTTTGTATGCCAATCGATTTAATTATTTTACTTCAGTGAGAACCGGTCAATGCTGCTAGACTGCGGCGAGGGCACCTTCGGGCAGCTGGTCCGGTTCTTCGGGCCGAAGAAAGTCAGCGCCTTCCTTAGGACCTTGAAGGCGGTGTATATTTCGCATCTGCACGCTGACCACCATATAGGTAAGTTAAAGCTGTGTACACTTGGACGAATATAAACCAACCAAGTGTGTACATCATTACTCATTTAAATCTTCTAATTCCTTGGCTTGTAGCATATTCTTTATGATATTATCCGTCTTAAACCTATCTCTTCCATCGAAAGAGGAGGCTGTGGCCGGTTGCTATTATTGTTACCAGCCAACTTTCACCAGTTGGATAAATCTGTCATATTTTTTTACTTAAGTGTAAGAAACAGAGATCATGACCTGATTTCTGCCATTCCAACTTATTATGCTCTTTATGATTAACCGTTTTTAACTGACTTAATTTTTGAAACATATGACAACACATCAATTTCAACACTGTCGCATTTGCATCTTATGAAATTGTGATAAGAGCAAAATTACACGTTCTGTTTACCTAATGTCAGGCCTCATCGGCGTGATCCAAGCCCGGCGGCAGGCGTGGCTAGAAGTGAACGCTGACGCGCCTCCTGAACCGCTGTATCTCTTCGCGCCGGGACAGATTTACACCTGGCTATATACCTACGACCAGCAGTTCGAGAAGATCAAGGGAGACTTCACGCTGCTGCCCAACCAGAACTTGGTAAGTCACACGTGAAAATCTGATTATTTTAGGTGATATTTTCTTCACCTGGATCTACACCTTCGACTTTACGCTGCTGTCTAATCAGAACTAGGTAAGGCACTCTATTATTGATGATTTTTGGTCGATTCAACCCAAGTTGCATTGAATCGACAAAGAGCTAGGGAGATGAGGCGGAGAGAGGTGCTGCGTTGCGATGAGAGAGTGACAACGCAGCGCTAAAGTTCAAAGACTCATACACCATTCACGTGGTTGGAAGTGAAACCCGAACCGCTGTATCTCCTCGCGCCGGGACAGATCTCCACCTGGCTGTATACCTACGACCAGCAGTTCGAGAAGATCAAAGGAGACTTCACGCTGCTGCCTAACCAGAACTTGGTAAGTCACACGTAAATCTAATTATTTTAGGTATATTTTCTTCACTTGGATCTACACCTTCGACTTTACGCTGCTGTCTAATCAGAACTTGGTAAGGCACTCTATAATTGATGATTTTTGGTCGATTCAACCAAAGTTGCATTGAATCGACAAAGAGCTAGGGAGATTAGGCGGAGAGAGGTGCTGCGTTGCGATGAGAGAGTGACAACGCAGCGCTAAAGTTCAAAGACTCATACACCATTCACGTGGTTGAAAGTGAAACCCGAACCGCTGTATCTCCTTGTGCCGGGATAGATCTACACCTGGCTATATACCTGACTCAGTTTGAGAAGATCAAAGGAGTCTTCACGCTGTTCCCTAATCAAAACTTGGTAAGTAGCTGTTGACACTATGATTGATGTTTTTTGGTCGTTTCAACCAAGGTTGCATGTAATTGACAAAGAAACAAGGTGGGGAAGGGTGCTGCGTTGCGATGAGAGACAACGCAGCGCTAAAGTTTTAAGACTGATGCACAACTGACGTGGTTGGAAGTAAAACCTGACGCGCCACCAGAACCGCTGTGTCTCTCTGGGACAGATCTATACCTGGCTGTATACCTATGACCAGCAGTTCGAGAAAATTAAAGGAAACTTCACGCTGCTGCCCAACCAGAACTTGGTAAGTAGCTGGTGACACTATGATTGATGTTTTGTGGTCGTTTCTTCAACCAACGTTGCGTTGAAACGATCGAACGCGAGCGTAACTGACATAGCCGGAGCGACGAGGTGTATAGGGATGCGATGACGTAGTGACAGCACAGCGCAGCGCTGCAGTTCAAAGCGGCGTTATATTACGACATCACACCGCTCGAGTGACAATGCGTTGACATCATCATCATCTCAGCCATAGGACGTCCACTGCTGAACATAAGCCTCCCCCAATGCTGGTTGGTAGCGGCCTGCGTCCAGCGCCTTCCTGCTACCTTTATGATGTCGTCGGTCCACCTTGTGGGTGGACGTCCCACGCTGCGTTTTCCGGTACGCGGCCTCCATTCCAGTACCTTGCTGCCCCATCGGCCGTCAGTTCTGCGTACTATGTGCCCTGCTCATTGCCACTTTAGCTTGCTAATCCGTCGGGCTATGTCAGCTACTTTAGTTCGTTTACGGATCTCCTCTTACGTTCGTATACGTTGACATCACTACGCGGCAATAATGCAGCGCATAACAACAATATAGGTTAGTTTTAGCGCTAATGGTTCACATACTTCATAAAGTAATGAGTATATATATCATCCTTTTGCAAAATTATTTATGATTATTATTTATTTCCAGTTGCATGAATCATACCATCAGAACGCAGAGATGGTGGCAACACTAGCCAACATAGGGGTCGAGCAGATCCGCACGTGTTTCGTATCGCACTGCCCCAATGCGTTCGGTGTTGCCATAGACTTGGACGCCGATCATCGCATCACCTACTCTGGGGACACTATACCCTGTGAAGATCTTGTCAAGATCGGTAAGTTAGACAAAAATCAGGCGACTATTGTTTCTTTTATTTTAAATGTGTAATCTTTACACCTACGCATTATAGAAGTTGATTGAAATAGTAGTGTGTAGTAGGTAGTGTTTTAGCCTCTCCTCGAAGATTATGAGCGTGCTTTGTACACCAAAAAAAATATTATGTTAAATGTAAAACTCAAAATCAAATCATTTATTGCATTGCATTACATGTGGTTTGATAGTTGGTGAATGGTAGGACAGCACATCACATGCACCCTGCAAGGTATACCAATATATATACCAATTCTTGATGGTCCATTGAATACACAGTTCCTCGCAGACTTTGGTGTGCGGCTATAATGAAAAAAAAAATAGCGACAAAGTTATAAGACCCAACTCTTTTTTCCAGGCGAAAACTCCCACCTGCTCATCCACGAAGCGACAATGGAAGACGAGCTGGTCGAAGAAGCTCGCACCAAGATGCACTCCACTACCTCCCAGGCGATAGAAATGGGGAAACAAATGAACGCGCGGTACACGGTCCTCACGCACTTCAGCCAGCGGTACGCGCGATTGCCGCGTCTGAACGCACACATACTGAATGACAATAGAAGCGTTGGCATCGCCTTTGACAACATGCAGGTGTGTAAACAAAAAAAAAAACATTTGGCGTGTACCAAGATTGGTCACCTTAGCGACTGTTTAAGCGATAGCGAGGACAGTTAGAGATCTCGTGGTACATGGTGCTCACGCACTTCAGCCAGCGATACGCGCGATTGCCGCGTCTGAACACACACATACTGAATGACAATAGAAGCGTTGGCATCGCCTTTGACAACATGCAGGTATGTAGACAAAACATATTTGGCCTGTACCAAGATTGGTCACTTTAGCGACCGTTTGGGCGGTAGCGAGCGACAGTTAGAGATCTCGTGGTACACGGTCCTCACCCACTTCAGCCAGCGATAAGCGCGATTGCCGCGTCTGAACGCACACATACTCAATGACAATAGAAGCGTCGGCATCGCCTTTGACAACATGCAGGTATGTAGACAAATAATATTTGGCCTGTACCAAGATTGGTCACTTTAGGGACTGTTTAAGCGATAGCGAGCGACAGTTACGAGATCTCGTGGTACACGGTGCTCACGCACTTCAGCCAGCGGTACGCGCGATTGCCGCGTCTAAACGCACACATACTGAATGACAATAGAAGCGTCGGCATCGCCTTTGACAACATGCAGGTGTGTAGACAAAAAAATATTTGGCCTGTACCAAGATTGGTCACCTTAGCGACTGTTTAAGCGATAGCGAGGACAGTTAGAGATCTCGTGGTACACGGTGCTCACGCACTTCAGCCAGCGATACGCGCGATTGCCGGGTCTAAACGCACACATACTCAATGACAATAGAAGCGTCGGTATCGCCTTTGACAACATGCAGGTATGTAGACAAAAATATTAGGCCTGTACCAAGATTGGTCACTTTAGCGACCGTTTGGGCGATAGCGAGGACAGTTGGAGATCTCGTGGTACACGGTGCTCACGCACTTCAGCCAGCGATACGCGCGAATGCCGCGTCTAAATGCACACATACTTAATGACAACAGAAGCGTCGGCATCGCCTTTGACAACATGCAGGTGTGTACTTGACCTTTACCACGATCGGTCACCAGTCACTTTAGCGACTTTTATAGCGATAGGGAGCGACAACACTAGACCTGTGTGCTTAGTGCGAGTTTGCATTGATCGTAATCGCTAGCGAGTGCCTAAAAAAAATATATGATTTTAGTTCTGGAAAGTATCCGCTAGGGACGCTATATAATCTATCATACATTTAATGTCTTTTTTTTACGCAGTCGCTAGATGACGTTTGATGTAAACTCGCACTAAGCCCCCTGTACCAAGATCAGTCACTTTAGCGACTTTTCAAGCAATAGAGCGCGACAATTAGATATCTCGTGGTACACGGTTATCATGCATTTGCAGGTACACGCGCTTTGATTTTGACGGCTACCAAGTTTGATTCGTTGAAATGAATTGGAGATTAAACTAGAAGTTTTTTGTGTTCCAAAATAATTATTTCCTATTTATATTTCTACATTTTTGCAAGTAAGGTCAAATTACACTTGACTAAACCTTGTTTCAAACGTCCTACAGATAACGATGAGCGACCTAGACCTGCTGCCGCACATGTACGCGCCTCTCCAGCTGATGTTCGCCGAACACTGCGTCGAGATGGAGCTGAAGGCGGCTCACCGCGCGCGCCAGAGAGAACGCGCCTCCTCGCCCAACCTCGCCGCTACCGGTACTCGGCCATACTGCACCTCTAGCACTAGCGCTGACGGCGAAAAGAACACCGACAGCGGCAAACCCAACGCCGACGGCGGCGAAGCGAACGCCGAAAAGCACACCGCGCTCGCCGACACTGAAATGCCAGACGCTGATAGCGCGAAACAAGAGACGATCGTAAATAACGGTAATAGCTAGCCATTCACTTTGTGACTGTAGGTATTGTATTTATTATGCGTTTAGTCGGTATAGCTGCAGTACTTTTGTTGAATGAGAGACTGTTAAGTGACTGCGATAATGTAATTTGAAGTATGATTGTTGCGTTTTAGTAGTTAATTACTATAAAGTAAAGCTATGTATTAGGGTGGTCCTTATTTTTCGACTTTTGAATTATCCCCGGGGCACTTTCTCATTCGATTATATACCTCTAAATATGAAATTAGCTTTTTTTGTTTTTTTTTTTGGTTAAGATTTAGAGGTCGCTACCAGCTGTCAAAATATTTACAAAAGCTTTGAAGATCTTAAATCATGGTTTCATAAATGTTTTATTTAAGTGTTTATATCACATTTTACGTGCAAATGAACATCGCATAGATAGAATAGACAATCGCTTCTTGTCCCCTTCTCCCCTCAACCCCTCTTCTATACCGACCATGGTACCGACGCGTCGAGATACTAACAAGTAAACTCTTATATCTTCAAAATAATTGATTCAAATAATGTACATTGTATATAATATCTTAGTTCATAGCAACAACAATAATTTTGTAATATTTTTATTTGGCTTTGGCTTTAAAAATAAATGAATCTAACAAATACAGATTTTGTGTTTTTACTTAAAATTCAAACCTTGGTAGCGACCCCTAAATGTCTTTTAAAAATTAAAAAAAAAATAATGAAAGACTTTCATATGGTATATAATCAAATTACGTGGTGCCCCGCAAAATATAAGAAAAAAAATTTTTTTCGTAGGAATAAGGACCACCCTACTATGTATACAGCCTCGTTGTTAATTATAGGCTTTTTGTTTTGTAGGTAATTTAGAATCTATATTTTTATAAGATGATGTATCTAATTGTTTTATCTACCATTCTCCATAAATTACGGCTGGGCCATAATTCACATCTATAATGTTACGTAGTCAATTTAGTTGTTATATTGTAAATGCATCGAAAATAAAGCAATTTCGAAAGTACATTTCAGTTGTTTTCATTGCAAGATCATCATTATAATCGTATTTGAAATTATTAACCACCCATACCAAGGAGGCAACCGAATAGTGAAGCCCATAAAATAATATGACGTGACGTAAGTATAATTAAATTGCACTGGTAACAAGTAGGTGCGAAGTTCAGGGCAAGCCAATTTGTGCTCTATACGAGTCACCAATAAGGGTCACTTTGGCATGCTGAATAGTTTCCAAAAGGGGCTCCATACCTGGTTGCAGACAAGATGGTGCGCAACCGCTCCAGCAGTCGCACGCGCAAGATCTCGCCGGGATGCCTCGCCATCGCGTCCGCGCCCGCGCCGCGAGCCAAGTACAGGGAGAGCAACGCCTCTAGTGAGTCTACTGCATTTACAGAATAGTAGGGAATAAACCTTATAGTTAAGGCGATAAGGTTCAATATCCGATATGAAATGAGACAGTAGACAGGCGCGGTTCCAGCCCTCAACAAAGGTTGTGGGCACAGCCACCGAAAATTAGCAAAGTTAGAGTTGGATTGGAGTACGAACTCAATCACGTTCGATTTTTTAAAGGCTCATCAGTCAGCCGATTTTATCATCAGCCTATCGATCTTATCAATCCCAACTAATATTATAAATGCGAAAGTAACTCTGTCTGTCTGTCTGTTACGCTTTCCCGCTTAAACCTCGCAACCGATTTTGATGAAATTTGGCATAGAGATAGTTTGAGTCCCGGGAAAGAACATAGGATAGTTTTTATCCCGGTTTTTGAAACAGGGACGCGCGCGATAAAGTTTTTCTGTGACAGACAAAATTCCACGCGGGCGAAGCCGCGGGCGGAAAGCTAGTAGATCATAATTAAAACAAGGAAATTAGGGTTGTGGTCATGCCCACAACGGTGGATCCGCGCCTGACAGTAGAAAATAGAGCTCAGAGTCGTCCACACAGATAAAAATGGGACTGTAGCTGATGAGGATCTTGCAGCAAAAGAACAACTTGCACTGCAGGATGCAGTAGAGATATAGCCCTAAGCTAAGACAATAAGGTTCAAAATAATGTGGTAGAAAATAGACAATTCAACTAGTAAATAAGCTCAGCGTCGTCCATTCAAATTAAAATGGGACTGGAGAGGAACTGATGGGGACTTTGCAGCAAAATATTGTCAAATTCTGATATTGCTCGTTTTAGCTTTTTCTCATATTCGGTTAGGATGAAAATTAGGTTGACTATCGCTTGATTGGTAAAATAATACTACAATTACAGGACTGAGACAAGAAATAAAGGGCATGACCGTGACTGGTATTGTCCGACAGCAAGGGCCCCGAAGTAAATCCTCGTCGCCAAGCAAGATGTATCCTCAGTCAAGTACCCCCAGTATGTATCTGTATACTGAATACTTTCTTTCATCTTGAGGATTGTAGCAATGAAGTACGAACTCTTTAGCCAATACAGTCCATGGAAGTACTCTCTGTGATTTAATGATTTTTTTCTGTGACAGAACAAAACAGTGGCTGCGCAACTCCAAAGAATCGTTGTCGCTCAGATAAGTCCCCAGAAAAAACTATGGATATCATAGCGTCACGTTAGTTACCATTTTATTAATTTCTTCTATTTCCGGCAACTAATTAACATGGTGTGACTACTGCAGGAACCTACTCAGTTATGCGCTATGCCTGTTAATACTACATAATTAATTTATTTGCTCTTTCAAGGTTTACAAAACAGTAGCAACGCGGCGGCTAGTAGGACCCGTAGCCGCCCAGAAGAATCGCCAGATAAGTCCTTAGATCTCATCGCCACACGTAAATAATATACATTTTTGTTTTACTCATTTACTTTTAGATATGTGTAGTGAAATCGTAGGTAGATGCATCAAAGAATAAACAAGATTTGTAATACATTTTAGGCACCCTAGTTCAGCTTCTTCTAAAGCGTGCATAACGCACGGACCTCTGAGAATAGTTAGTTAGTTGCCGTAAGGACTAAGACACACTGTATGACTCATCGTAAAGTATATTCGCAGCTCGGTCTATGAGCGAAACATCGAACGCGAGCAGAGAGACGCAGGATCGGATCCGTTCTCTTATGGCGAAAGCATCCTCCGGTTACGTTGTTGATAGTGAGTACAAATATTCATACATAAACTACTAAGATCCGGTTCGAAGGACCATCTCTGAAACTTATATTACCCGGCTTAAAATGATTATGATTTTTAGCTCGTTCCAAAACGATAAACACCGCTGTTCGCCAACCGGCTAGCGAGGAAGCTTTGAGCGTTGGAAGGAAGGCTGCTGTTAACAATACGTCTTCGATAGGTAAGTGTATGGTTTTGCGATTGTGAGCGTTATCAGCAATTTTTCTAATTTAAATTCGTTTTCACAGGTCCCGGAATAGGTTATGGCAAACCTTTGGTGACAAGTCTTAATAAGAAACTAACAGTTCTAAAAGAACTGCCTAAACGTGAGTATTTATTGTTACCTATAAAACCAAAGTTCCTAGTTAGAGCACATTAGATCTCTGGTTTGAGCAGTGGCGGCGTAGCATAGGTTGGCACCCGGGGCGGCACCCCCCCGTCCCCCCGTCATAAGTCCTAAGGCACCCCCTGGTACCCCCCAGGATTTTGGAGTTACCTACCGATTCGAAGATTGAAAGACAATCGTAACCCNTATCATGACATACACCGCAGATTTGCCATGCAGATGTGCCAGTGAGTACTAATCTGCGCGACTTCTGTCACCCCCTGATGCTTGGCACCCGGGGCGGACCGCCCCCACCGCCCCCCCCTTACGCCGCTACTGGGTTTGAGTGGCGTTGACGCAAGAGGGCGGTAGCTTTTCTTTGCTCTCGCGGGCCTAACTGACCAGTTACTATAATAATTTTCGTTTTATTTTTTAACAGCTTTGAGTGAAGTTAAGAATTCTAGATCAGTAACTAGTAGAGGCAAGTCACCAGTGAGGCCTTGGAGAAGTAAGTTTACCTTCCCACATTTTATATGAAGGCATTTGGATGTTTAAGTTCTGAATCTCAAAATACTTTTATATTTTTAGCGGACAACAAAGATTCATGTTCATCGGTTCCCGGTAGAAAGCTAGATTTAAACAAATCTAGATCCCGTGAGTATCGGTCTTTTACTAATAAATTATTCCTAAATAAATTAATGCAATTTTATGGGCGTGGTTTGTTATAATTTCTAGTCGTACCGCGTTCTATTTCAGTAACGAACCCTAGATTAGAGGTAGTGACGAGCATCCTATTCCACTTAATATTTTGGCGGGTCGCGCACATTGCCTCATACCTGTGCCCCCCGCAATGGCTCGTACTATTCACAATAATCGCTGTTGGTGTTTTGTTTTGGACAGCGGCGAAGGGACCGGCTGGGAACAAGTTACGCAACACGAATACAGTTCCAAAAGTCAAACCTGACGATAAGGTTATGAACATGAGGGCTTCTGTTGCTGGTAGACGTCAGTATCTAATATTGTTAAAATAATGGTCGTCTTTATGATCTGGCTCGAAGGACCAAAATGTATCATTTGTGTGATTTTCAGAAATGAGAGGGTCAGCGTCTGTTAAAAGTAACAACAGAAGCCCCACAAGACCTGATAATAAAGAAGGTAGGCTTCTCAAGATTACAGAGGTAGTTTTGTATAATTCAAACATAATTTTCTCAATTTAATCTACATTGTGCACTACTAACTTTTTCAGATATATTGAACAGTAGGGCAAAACCCATACGACCAACACTGCAAAAGGAAATCAAAAGTTGGACCCCTGGTAATATGCCATGTATTTATTTTGATGTGTAGTGTTGAATTAGCTTTTGTTGCCAATAACCAGGAATTTATTACTTTTTCAGAATTTAATCGATCGCCAAATAGATTATCAGGGAATAAATTACGACCCTCTGCACCTACACTGAATAAAACATCACAAGGTAATCTAATAATAAGGCCTAGTAGGTTAGCTGTTACTGGCACAGTGTATAACTAATTATGCTCCTGCGGTAGTGAAGTGGGGAGGGGTGACACGTGACGTAATAGAGCTATCACGGTAATAAAGGCACACACTGCAGGAACCTACTCAGTTCAGCAGTATGCCTGTAATAATAAATATGTCATATTAATAAAATAATGATTAAAATACAATCAATTTCAGATAGCGCAAAAAATACGAAAAAAGATCATCCAGGCCTGAAGCCCAGTCCTAAGTCTTTTTCTAGTCCTCGCGGATCGAGTGCCGAGAGGAAAAAAGAGAAACCCCCTATATCTCAACCACTAAGAGATATGCTGAGTGAGAGACTGAAACAGCCACTTTGCAAAGATGTGCCAATGTCTGGTATTGGTAGACCAACATGTGAGTTCTTGTTCAAGTGTTTAAACAATGGAACATAATTTATCCATATTATTTTAAAATATTTTTAAATTATTTTTAGCTGGCATTTACAGTAGAAGTTTTAAGCCACAACTGGAAGACATCAAAAGTTCTTACATGTTATTAAATAAACAAAATCAAGATCAAAATAACAAAAGCAATAATGACAAAGGTAATTTATTTTCCTAAATAATGTCTATAACATTAATGAACATAGTAAATGATGCTATGGTAATGGTTTTTGTAAGTGTACTAAGTCTGCAATTCTCATTAGATTTTAACACAGATTTTTTTCTCATTAGGATTAACACTTTGTTTTAGAAAGTAAGAAAGAATTAGTGGCTATACATAAACCAAAGCCATTCAATGAGGAATTTAGGAAAAAACAACTGCTTGAAGTCAGACAGAAATTTCAGAGCAAACATTTTTGGAATGACTCAAGTAAGTAAAGACAGTCCCAATATATTTAAATGATTTTATAAGGTTTCAATAAAATGAACATTATTGTTTCAGAATATGAAAAGATTGAAGGCCTCAATTGGATTTCATGGAAGTGAACAAAAAGAAATAATTTATTTTATATCATCTGTATTATTTATAAATTTATAGTGATAGTAACACTCAAGTGGTGTCTAATGTTAAAGTTTACGAGCATAATGGATCAATTAAAAAAAATTGAAAAATATTTCACATTTCTTTTGATCCAGAACCCTTTCCATCCTTATCCTTTTGGTCTTTGTCATCCTTTTCATCCTTATCTTTCTTAATAGTGGACATAGCATTCCGAATAGCCTCACTCTGAGGATCAACACCAGGGAGATTTTCTAGAACACTCTGTAGAAAAGCTGGGTCATTCATAACTTCGGCATACTCCTCAGAAACATCCATGCTCTCTTCAGCAGCTGGTGCATCTTGCTGCATGCTCATTTGCATAGCAAGGGCAATTTGCTCTTCTTCAGACAACTCCATAGCCTCACGGCCCAGTGACATGGCTAGTGCTCTCTCCATGCCAGTGTTCTGGGCTTCAGTAGTTTTCCCTGTCTCCCCTTCTGCAGTAGATTGCTGGCGACGAGATTCCTCTTCTTGACGCTGTCTTTGTTCTTCCATAGACACACGGAGAGCAAGGGCAAGTTCAGGATCTTCATTGGGGTCAACTCCAAACTCGAATGGTGACAAGCCAGAACCAGATGGGCCAGCTCCATCTCCTCCAATCAAAGGGCTTGAAATCAAAGCCTCTGAGAGAACCACACAGCCTCCAGCGGGTACAGACACGAGATGACTGCCACCAGTAGTGTTGTCCTTCCCGTTCAATGTGTTGACAAACGTCGTAAGAAGAGGATTGTTATCCGCATCCTCTCCAAACGAAACTATGTCACAGTTCACCTTCTCTTTTTTCAACCTCTTGGCCAGCTTTACTAGCTGAGACTCATCAGTGTGGATAGGAGAACCGACGAACACCACAATGCGCATCTTGTGGTTCTTTCCTTGACGATGCTTTAGAGCCAAGTGAGCAATTCTGATCCCAGTCAATAGGTTGATGTCGCCGTTTGGCTGCACTCGGTGCAATTTGGACAAAATGCGACCCACATCGCTGGTTAAAGTGGCTAGCACCTCTACGTTAGCGAGAGTCAGCAAACCTACATTATTTTCTGGATTTGACCGTGTTTTAGAATGACATACCAGGTTTACGGCATCCTGCTGGGCCTGAAGCCTTGTTGGAAGAAAGTCTCCATTTCTCATATAATCACTGTTGTCAACACAAATCATAGTACTTTCCAATACCATTTTGAAGTTGATTTAGAAGTTGTTTGGATCAAAGAAACAATAAAATGCACTTCCACTGGCGAGAGAATGAAATTTGCTGTATAATCATAGACTACGTATTTTGACAGATGTATTTTTATGGCTACCCAACCCACAGATTAGACAAAAATCGATAGATGAACGTCCAACCGGTATGCGATTTATCACGTTCTCACGTGCGGGGTAACTGTGATTTATGGTAACCGGAAATGTACAACACTAGTAAAAAAAATACAAAATCTATCTATGGTAAAAATTTGACAGCTGGAAATTCGGCCCGATTTTTGTAAAATTCTTGGATAAATTCCCGAATAATCATGGCTTTCGGAGATTATCCTAAAGAATATAATCCATCAGTTCATGGGCCTTACGACCCTGCCCGCTACTATGGAAAACGTAAGTCAATCATGCAGAAAAATATACTTGCCCTTCACGAAATTTATTCGATTATGTAATTTTATTTTTAATGTTTCAGCTGATACTCCCTTTGGGCAAGTAAAATTGAACGAAATCGGCTCATGGTTGGCTCGCAGGAACAAGACTCCCTCTGCTGTCATGGGTGCCTGCAGCCGAGGTAATGTAACATGAAATAATTTTATTTTAAGGTTATGTGTATTGGATAACCCAATGACATTTATTCTATATATTTCTATTGTGTTTACTACCTCAGCATCTACCCAGAAGATTGATAGTAAGAATAGTACCTACCACAAGGTTAACTACTAATTTCTGATTGTAGGTAATCTTAAGAATCTTTTAAACTGCCTGTTTTTCTAAAAATGTGCAGGTATATGCAATATTTTATTATAGCATACTAAATTATTTCAATCATTATTATTTGAAGAAATGGCTGTTTATTCATACTAAAAATTTATTTTCATTTAGCCTGGTGGAGCTGGCAACACAAATACATGCAGCCCAAGAGGGTTGGAATTGCTCCGTTCTTCCAGCTGCTGGTTGGCTCGATGACCTTCTTCTATGCTATCAACTACGGAAAGATGAGTAAGTAACAGTTATTAAGACAACCCAATTATTACTTCAGTTTATTTTATAAAGTTTGTAATCAACCTCTGATTTTCTACATGTTCATTACTGCCATGAAATTTTGTATTGTTTCATGCCTAATATGATAATTTTACAAAAAAAAATTGAGAACCTCCTTTTTAGGTGTGTAAAAAAAGAAAATTACCATTGTCTCACAATTTGCTAAGTTATCCTTTTTCTTTTTTCCAGAGCACCACAGGAACTACAAATACCACTAAAGAAAGTTTTGTGATAATATTCAAAAACATGTATTTATGATTGTAACACCTGCATGTAAAAGTTTATCTGTTCTAGATCATTTGTGTTGTATGTAACAGCTGCAATAAAAATATTAGTGAAATAAGATTTATTTTTTCCTTATTTACCTAACACCCTATTTTCTTCTGTATCCAATACAATACAACAAGGTCATATTATAGTTATGTTATGTGTGATATTAGTAAGCAATCTTCATTTTCATGGGAATATTAAAAATAAAGTGCATTTGAAATAATTAACACAATCCATGAGAAAGTTTTAGATAATTGAGTAGTAGGCAAACCTTTTTGGATATTATGCATCTTATAACCCTAGTGGATGAAAGAAATTCACAGTAAATTTAGGTAATATAAATCAAAACTACAATAAGTTTGTTAAAAATATTTACTTATACACAATAATAATTTAATCAGTTTTGTAGACATGCATTCTTCTCAAGTACACATCATACAAACAGTTCAAATGCAATAATTTATTAATCACTAGGACCACATCACTTGATGACACATTCATCACACGTTGATCTTGCTTCTTGGATCTTCACTTGAAATGTCCAAAATTCTCAATGGGCCCACGATTTACCTGGAAAAAAGAAATTAAATAATAATTTGCAGATTTAGACATAAAAAGAAAGATGAGTTGTATATTATATTGTACTACAGCTCCAATGAGGATCAGTACTGTTGTAGAAAATTCAATAAAACTAGTATCTACGTTAATCTTTAAGACATAAGAAAGATATATCTTTTTGAATTATCCAAATCGGACCATTACTTACGAAGATATTAAGTAATAAACATAGGCCGTTTTTGCCGCTAAAAGTCAACGTACGCAGGGCCGCGTGACGTCATTATATCCGAATCGAGCGCAGCCGGCGTACTATTGGGATGGAAAATATTTTATTCCAGCTAAACCATCAGTTTTAGAAAAAAACTTTTAATAACATTTATTCATCAAAATAAAGTAACCTATCGACCAGTAATTTTTAAAAATAAAAATTGTGAAAAATAAGTATCGCTATGTCCAAAAACCACATTTTCATAGGATTCGATGCAATGCGGAGACGCGGTTGGGGTGAGTGTAACTTAATGATTGTTTGTATTGAACATAATAATACATAATATGATGCTAATATTTTTAAAATTACCTATCGATAGCTTACTTTATTCTGATGAATATATGTCATTACAAGTTTTTCTCTCAAACTGATAGTTTGGCTAGAAAAAAATATTTTCTATCCACGCAGTACGCCGGCAGCGTTCGGATCGGATACAGTGACGTCAACGGTCCCGCGCCGGGCGGTCAGTGAACTTTTTTAGTAATTTGGCCATAACTTCGTCAATTTTTGTCGTAGAACAAAAATTTTTGGACTGTGTATTAAGGATTTCTTAGCCCTATAAATCTGCATTCACAGCTAAAAATCGAAATGATCCTCATTAACTAGACAAATAGACACATAGGCAATTGCAGATGGACTTTTCTCATTATTACATCATATAATTTACAAATACTTTGCTAATAACCACTATGAAATCTTGATTTTTTTTTTATAAAAGTTTGTGTTATAGTTTCTATGGAATGGTAACATTGAGTAGATAACCTATCAAACTTTAACAATGAATGTCTATAAAAATTCAACTGAACAAATAATGGTAGTTAACTGGTCAAATTTTATTTGATTTGCTCAACAGTTGAGTTTTGAAATATTGGTCCTTTCACATTAACATACCCTAAATTAGATTAAAATGGTGTAATTTTGTACTTTGCTGAAACAAACATGTAAATGGTGATAAAGTAAAATGAACCTTACCTAGATATTTATTATTGTACTAATTTACAACTCAGATCTGCCCATATATTTGGGCTTCAGTTCTTCTATTCTCTTGATGAAGTCTGTCTTTTCAATGCATCCATCACAAACCTCATCCCAGTCGTTCAGGATCTTTTTTAGGTCGCGAACCTTCAGTTTCTTCAGGTCTACATTATTGAGGTCAATCTGTTTGTCGAACCTAAGGTCGCAGATTTGGGCATCCTTTTTCCTTAACTTCTCGCAGATTTTGTCAGCTGGCATAGACCAACTCAGTGGCTTTGAGAGCTCTCCTAAAATACCGGTAGCTGATTCTTCAAGCCCTCCTAAATAGTAACAAAACCGATTCTCTTTGTTCTTAGAACCTTTACAAAACTTCTTGAATTCTATTTCTATCTTCTTGGGGTCCTTCTTGACATCGTCTGCTAACGTGGCTCCGAATTTCTCCACAGTTTTTACACAAACCTCGCATTCGCCTTCCTTCAGTGCGAGTGCAACTTGTATCACCGCTGCCACGAATAATAAATGAAACACGCTTATTCTGCACATTTTTGATTATTCACTGTTGAAAAGCAGTCTAAATATAAATTTTAAAGTCGGAAATAGCCGCACTTATATTGTGAACAGCCGAGAATTTCAATGTAATGAAATGATAGAAAAATCTCGTTCATCCATGCAATGAAGACGTTGACAGATTTACTTGGCGAGCTGTGATTGGTGCACGTTGGCGGATTTTGACAATTACTTTCAAGTGTTGCAATAAAACAAAATGAAGATAAGGCTGATCCCAAACTAACGTTTTTCTGCGACTGTAGCTATTTAGCTCAGGAGCTCAGACAGAGTTATGTTTAATCTGTGATCATTTTGGCAGGTATTGTCACATTGACAGTTGTCATGACAACCAAATTTTGTTTATATTGAATTCGCCGAACTGCGTTGTTTTGTCAATATTCCATTTTCCAGATATTTCTCATTGCCGTAGTGGTAAAAGAAAATTCAGTTGGCTGAGGATTATTGTTTCCTTTGAGCAAACATGTCTGGAACTAAACCTAGACTCCAAGATCTCCCTAAAATTGCGTTGGAGCAATACATCACGGCTCTTCAAAGCGAGTCGAAAATGGCCCGAAAACAAGCCTTAATGAACATCAACAAAGAAATATTTGAAGAGCCAGCGAACCAAGATTGTGATCTCACAGTTGTGTTTCCTGAAGTGTACTCTTACGTGCTGAAAAGCTTCTCTGATGTGTCGGAGGCGTGTCGTGAGGCTTCTGCATTGATCATTTCCAATTTCATTGATCGCTTGCCGCTCAATGACTATTATTTGACTTATATTTTGCCTGTGATTGTCCGGCGTATTGGCTGCCCTGAAATAGTGGAGGAATCAGAAGAACTACGCTTAGTTCTCATTCAATTAGTACGCAAAATTGTAGAGAAATACAAAGTTACTCATTTGTTAAGTCCATTTATTAACGATTTCACCAGTATTTTGACCAAGACCAGTGCAGATCCATTCCCCAAGGTGAAGCTGGAAGCCTGTGATTGTATAATCCTGTTGACGCAGGTCCTTCAAAGAGATTTTCATTTCCAATGTGAAAGCTATGTTAAGCCTGTGTTGTCCAATTTTGCTCATCAGCATTTCAGGGTTAGGGTTGCAGCTATTAAGGCAATTGGTAAGCATAAAAATAATTAAACTAATTTATAAATAACCTAGCATTATTATTTAGCCACTATATTTAATTTCCAGGGGCCATAGTTCTAGCAGGAAATGGAAAGTGTTTTGAATTGTCCATTACTCCCATGGCAGAGAAGCTGTTTGATGAGAACTCACAGGTCCGTCTTCAGGTTACCCTAGAGGTCGGCAACTGGATGCTGAACTACAGGGACAGATACTCCTTCTGGCATCGTATGATACCACTCTTGCTTACAAGGTGAAAATGTATAACTCAATTATTCATATGACTAGAAATAGTAACTTATTCACTGATTATAAATTATGATAAACTTACTATAATCTTTCAAACACTTTCTTCCATGGAAATTGGTGTTCCATTAAAAATGATGATGGTACAGTTGAAATATGGAACACCCCAGTACTTAAAAAAAATTTTTTTCCTTCACCTTTTGCCTGGTTTTCAAAGCAGCATAGTTACAAAATGTAACATTTGTATTCTACCTTCTATCAACAGTCTCAGTGACGTCATAGCAGACATAAGAGAGACAGCTACCAAGCTTTGGACGGACATCGGACTCCAGTACATGGAGGAGAATGAAGAGGACTTGAAAAAGAAAGCAGACTTCCTGAAAGATGTGCCGACGCACTACCCCGACGTAAAGCGCCCGAATATGGGATGCAGGGTCCTGGTGCAGACCAATATAGGGAAGATCGTACCTGCTATTTGGCGAGGTATTTAATTTAATAATAATAGTGTCCTAGAGCTCGCGCGGTTGTGGCGCGATTATTCGACTTCGTTTCGCCTTACATGTATTTTTAAAATTATTAGATAACATGATTATCAGTTTGCCTCTTCAAAGTTATTAGATTCTACTCTACTACTCCATTTACGATTGTGCTCTAGCTCCTCTAAGCTTAAATACGTATCCATAACTGAAATACATGGGCGTATCCCTCAGGTGGCCCTACCTCCTGTGGAAATTTTAGGCCCATGCCTCTGTCTACATTGGTACCTTATGTTTCGTGTAGAATCATAATATAATGTAATGTCACAATGTGTATGATGATAAAATAAGCGCGGGGACCTAAAATACTGACTTGGGCCAGAAGCTGGGTATGCCAAATACCGTCCACTGCATGACCAAGGTCTCCTCCATGGATTTCTACAACGACCGGTCCTACGGCTGCCCGTATCGCCTATGTATATTCACATATAATGCCTCCTCCAGAGATGGACGGCTGGCAAGCTGACGCCAGGCTGCGGGTGTCGCAGCTGCTGTGCTGGCTCATCCTGTGCGCCGAGGAGGGCTCCACGCAGCACGCCAACACCATCGTCAGGACTCTGCACCGCGGTGCCAGCGATGACGATCCCAGGATCACCTTGGAGGTACCTACCAACGTTCAGTTCCTCTAGAGATGGACGGCTGGCAAGCGACGCCAGGCTACGAGTCTTACAGCTGCTGTGCTGGCTCATCCTGTGCGCCGACGAGGGCTCCACGCAGCACGCCAACACCATCGTCAGGACTCTGCACCGCGGCGCTAGCGATGACGATCCCAGGATCACCTTGGAGGTACCTACCAACATCCAGTTCCTCCAGAGATGGACGGCTGGCAAGCTGGCGCCAGGCTACGAGTCTCGCAGCTGCTGTGCTGGCTCATCCTGTGCGCCGAGGAGGGCTCCACGCAGCACGCCAACACCATCGTCAGGACTCTGCACCGCGGCTCTAGCGATGACGACCCGAGGATCACCTTGGAGGTACCTACCAACATCCAGCTCCTCTAGAGATGGACGGCTGGAAGGTGACGCTAGGCCCGAGTCTCGCAGCTGCTATGCTGGCTCATCTTGTGCGCCGAGGAAGGCTCCACGCAGCACGCCAACACCATCGTCAGGACTCTGCACCGCGGCGCTAGCGATGACGACCCGAGGATCACTTTGGAGGTACCTACCAACAGTAACAACATCCAGCTCCTCTAGAGATGGACGGCTGGCAAGCTGACGCCAGGCTGCGAGTCTCGCAGCTGCTGTGCTGGCTCATCCTGTGCGCCGAGGAGGTCTCCACGCAGCACGCCAACACCATCGTGAGGACTCTGCACCGCGGCGCTAGCGATGACGACCCGAGGATCACTTTGGAGGTACCTACCAACAGTAACAACATCCAGCTCCTCTAGAGATGGACGGCTGGCAAGCTGACGCCAGGCTGCGAGTCTCGCAGCTGCTGTGCTGGCTCATCCTGTGCGCCGAGGAGGGCTCCACGCAGCACGCCAACACCATCGTCAGGACTCTGCACCGCGGCGCCAGCGATGACGATCCCAGGATCACCTTGGAGGTACCTACCAACATCCAGCTCCTCCAGAGATGGACGGCTGGCAAGCGACGCCAGGCTACGAGTCTCACAGCTGCTGTGCTGGCTCATCCTATGCGCCGACGAGGGCTCCACGCAGCACGCCAACACCATCGTCAGGACTCTGCACCGCGGCGCTAGCGATGACGATCCCAGGATCACTTTGGAGGTACCTACTAATATCCAAAGCTTTAAGGTTTAGAAATCATATTCTTGGTCGACGTACAAGCGTTTTATCAGTAAATCCTCCTTCCCTCATTATTTTTTTATCGTAACTCACAGGTCTTTTTTGCCTACCTCCACCTAAACTCTGGTTGGCAGCTTAACTTGTTCACCAGAACTTCTACTGCAGGCCGGAGAATGTAACGACTCGTATAGGTATGCCATAACAAACGCAAAAATACCGTGTTCGTTTGTACACGATTCATCATTCAGCCCATCTTGAGATGATCGTCCCAACTTAGGAATGGGAAAAGAGTCAAAAACCAGATTCTTAACATAACAATCAGCTTTTTATTCTGTATCCTCCATGTTCACCAGATCAAACGAGCATCCGAGTTGTTCGGCTACTTCATAACGCCCGAGACGTGGTGGCCGCTGCTAGAAGCCGAAGTAGACTCGTGGGGCGCTCTGTTCGTCATCGCCAACATCATCAGAGGCTCGCAGGCTGAGCACATCAAGGGAAAAGTCATGAAGGAGCTCTGTAAGGAACTGGTGGACCCTGATCGGTGCAGGGTTAGGAAGGTAAGGCTCTTCTTCTCCCATAGGTATACTAGACTGTCTCTGCATTGGCTCAAGCTTAATCCTTATTAGTTTAGTTCAAACGATGCGCTCGTTATTCTAGTGGGGGTGTACAAAACCCGCAATCATTTTCATTATAAAAAAAGACAAAGTTCAATTACAAAGGTCTATCGACCGTGATCTTATAAAACAGCAGTAAGACTTGCTTTTCAGTGACGGTTCTTAAACTGAGTTTCATTAGTCCACCTTAGTCTAGTCGGGCACAGGATCCTTCATCTTTCTGACCGCTCCCAGTGGCGAGCTGGCAACAGCCAACCTTATCTTCTTATATCCACGCTCCCTCTTGCAAAATAAAGGAGGAATGCTTTTTGATCTGGTCTTATTGTTTGATTTTCAGCCCAAGTACCAAACGAACCTCCTCCGCGTGGTGGAAGCTCTCATGGATCTGTGCAAGGAGGAGTGCCTGCCGGTCGCCGAGGACCTCTTCGTCATCAGCTTCACCGTCTACGCCATGCCTGTGGACGACCAGATACAGATCATGGCTTTGTGTGAGTTGACATTGCGAAAAATAATTCAGGGCTAAGCTTGAATTGTGGTAACTATATTAAACGTATTTGCGACCTCACGAATCCGACATCGTAGGTACTATTGGCGCCTTTAAAATAAAGTTTCCGCCAAAATAGATGGACTGTGCAGCTTAGATACCTAAGTCTAGTCTTACTCACTGAACTATACAGTTTACTGCTGTCGATTCATATGGGGATTTCGTGTGGTTCCTACAGAGTATGACTACGTGGATGTTGTAAGAAGCGACAAGGGGAGACATAATTATGCGAACAACAGCCTCTTAATCCTCTGTCAAATCTTCTCTTTTGCCTCTGGTAAATTAGAGAGGGCATGTATTTAAATGATCTTTTTAAATTAGCAAAAACGGCAAATAAAAAAATCTAAATGGTCATCTATTTTAATGATT